GCAATTTGGTTCAATTTTTACCTAACTCGTGAATGCATTTACAACACTTTGCTATAAATTCATGCTATATTATTCTGTCCTAATGGTAGATAGCATATTTTAAATACCTTATTGGCAGCTGGTTGTGTTGGAATAGTTTCATTTTATTAGTCTAAGGCGCTTTAAAAGGTTTTGATTTATCTTATGTGCATTGTAAATTTGTCCTAAAACTTCCTCATTTACAAAACTTATACAAATGTTAAGCAGGAACTACAATTTGGTATCATGCTGTTTTGTCAAGAGAAAATGTCGTACAATAGGCGTATAGAGGTGTGTCGGATAACCATGGAGATAAACTAGATCTTTATTTTCTACACGGTGGTCGAAAATTAGGAGTTTTGAAAAAATACATTCACACTGGAATTTGACAATTACGAAGAGTCAAGTGATATTGTAATCGGCTCATTGGACGAAAAACTAATTAAATTCAGTAATACATCTTCCTGTCTCATGCCACTAATTATGATGCATGATGAGTGACTACACTAAATCATTTGCGGTTTTAAAAGTCTAGTCTGCTTACTTTTTGGTCTTTCTATATTTCCTAATTATTTTGTTGCTACATAAACCGGTCTGCGTCTGGCTTTCCGTTTTAGTATAATTTAACGGTTGTCACATGTTGCGCAGAATTGGTCACGTCTGGTTACTAGAATAATAAGTAGAACTGTGAACCCATAGACCCACTGCTTTGCTTTCACACTTACAACAACCTAGTTTTGTGACAATCCCCTTGATGTATATATTTTCTTTAGGTCAGACCTGTGTGTATGTTTCTAACCATGCAGAACCTCTGCGTACAAATGTTCATCTGATCTGGGCATGCGTATTTTATCTAACCAACTCTGTCATGTATTTCGCCGGGTATGTATTTTGTGTGTATTTTGACTAAATTGGCGCTTATTAAATTAAATCTTATTTGTATATTTTCAAACCAGACTCTGATACAATTATTTCCTTCAAAAAATGCTGTAAAACGTGGAATTATTCGCGCAGTTAAAGGACGACGGTAGTCGTCGCGCCACGCATGCGCGGGATATATGGGTCTCATGTAAACAAAGATGGCGACTTTGACTGTTGCGCAGATCAATGATTACAAATTAAGACTGATTGGAAGGCATTGAAAGAGTCACCGGCGGTAATTAGTGCAAGTCGCGCCCAGGTCAAACCTCACACTTGTTATATCCATTAGATAAGCGCATTGGATTGTGGGAAAATCAAAAGTTTCATCAATCAATCAAACACAAATGTCTCACATGCGCGGCGCGACAACCACCAGCCTTTAAATTTTCGCGTAATTCGCGTAATTTGCGCTAAAATTAAAATTCATGAAAATATGATTTAGAGGTTATTTATTTTAATTTCGCTGCTGGGGCGCTGTATTTTTGTATTACACGATGAACACAACACACCACTCGCATTCACGTTATTCAAGCAGTAAAAAACAAAGTACTGGGATGGTAATATTTCTTTGTTAAAAAAATGTACTTACAGTCAATACCTATTTTTTAACACAAATAGTATTTAAAAACTTGAAAAATCTGACCCCTCGGCGTGACAGCACCGTAAAATTTATAAAAACAATTTGACGCCCGATTTCCTTCTGAATGTTATACTAGACAAGACTAGTGAATGAAAATGTTATGTATTCATCTGAATTCTGGGTTCAATAAGGAAACATTTAAGAACAACAGCAATATTCATGTGACTGTCATGTTACTAGTATTCCACATGTTCGCGATGAAAAATTGAATTACAACCGAAATTGTGCTCAATAAAGTTTGGCATGTAAGGTAAATATAATGTAATGGAAATATACATAGATATTTGTCTCTGTGTGATGGCTGGAGCAGAATAAAGTAAAATGAATTACATAAATCATAATATAATGCAAGTATAACTAGAACAATAATATGTATGATTACAAAATAACAGTCACAATGTGGTTCACTGCCTGCGAATGAATACATGTAACTGTGTGCAAACATGTTTTTGCATAATTTAGGTTGCAAGACAATTCACGAGATAAAACGCGTCCAGACATGTTATAACCTGACTGAGTCTGTTTGAAAAATCTCTGACCGTGGTCAACCATGGTGCCAAATCCCTGGGTGGAACTTAACATGATTGAACGTGTTCTGACTACTCTTATAACACAATAAACTATGGCAATTAATTATGTTTGAACACAATCTAGCATTTTAGAATCATGATTCTTGTGGTTAGAATTAGGCTTGACTAAAGCGTTGTAGGGCTTTGTAATTCGGCCCCAATTTACAGTACAAGCAGAAATGTTCACAGTTATTCACCAATAAATTATACTCGCCATCTTCAGGCAGACCCTCATCTAAACACTCTCTAGCTCGACGCAAAACATCCTCCACAGGATCACTGGGCACAGGACAGCAGGTTCCACTTCTCTTTAATCTGCAAACCGCCAGGGAACTATCATACCTGTTACAGAAAATAATTATACTTCAAAAAGAAGCTTAATATTAAATAGAAATTATGGCAACATGAGATGGAACCTAATAAGGAGTACATTTAAAAAATGCATTGTTGAGTACAACTAATCGTAGCTAGATAAGTTATTTCGTTTTAAGGATATTGAACTGTCAATCTATTTCTTCAAAGTTTGATTAATGACAAATCTATATTTGGTACGTGTTAAAATCCGATCCCTTTTAAGTTTATAGATGTATCCAATTTTTGGTATGAATACCTTGTTAGTTTGAGGCCGAATTTGTTTCTCGGATAAGTCTAAAGCAGCACAAATACGCATGTAAGATTTGTAAACTATCATATCCAGTTTACCATATCACACATATACAAATGCATGAGATATGAACAAATGACCATCTAGTTTGCGTATTTCTGGCAGAACTTAAAAATGAAATATACCTGCAAGCACCAGTGATCGACATTGCAGCCTATGGTATATTTTACCGCATTGCACCACTCATGAACAAAGTATGAACGTATATACCACGAATTGGGTGAATTGGTCAATGACATGATTGTTTACAGATGTAAACTGTTTGTTATGAGTTGCGAGTGGGATTGTCTTTTTGTATTCAGTATAATGGTAATTATGTTTATGTTCTTGATGTGACCGTTAGATTGGTCGCTAGGAACACATCCGACGAACTGTTCTGATTAATGTAAATCTCATCGAACTGGTATCCTATATATAATGATTTGTCTGTAAACGCATGTATGCATATTAATGATGTAACATGACCAGACAATCGTGCCCACCTTGTGTTTAGACAAATAGTATATTATGGCTCACATTCATCGCATGTAATTCTATTAGTATCTTTTGATAATTGCATGTAGGTCGATCCATACTTTTACCAAATATCAATAAAATTGATCAAAATGTCCGGGAAACTATGGAAACACTAGATTCAATCTGATTAAAATAAGATCCTAGTTTTGGCTTTTTTTTGTATATTTATTTTATTTTTATTGTGTTGTATAATTTATTTTTTGAAGTTTGGTAATTGCGAAAACCGACAAGAATCTGATCCAATGCCTATGTAAATCCCGTTCAAATCTCGCGTAAGTAATATCCAATCACAGCACCCCTAGGCCTTTTATACAGGCTGTCGGTTGCTTACGTTTAGCAATACTCTACGGGCAATCTTTCTGTACGCTATATTTTGCTCACTTAAATGAACCATTAATAGACAATTAATAGTATATTAGTATATTTTTTATTTCCAAAAGAGATTACACTATTTTACAACTTTTGTCATTACATTGAATATTTTTTTCACTTCCAACAAATGTGTACACTTCCTGATGCCTCTTCGCCAGCCAAGGTTCGTTTATCGCTTCAATCAAACAATGAGCATAATTATTTAGAATGGAAGCAAAAAATAAGTAAATCGTAATGATTAGAACACTATAAACAGGTATATTAAACAATGCAAACTTCCAACGGCATTGATGCTGAATATTGGAGCAACAAATATTTCCTGATCAATTGCGATGTGTCCCAAATAAAAAATATTTGATTCCAGTCCAAATCAGTTCAATTACTTTAATAAAGAGTTATTATTGTTTAACGTACAAAATGTTGATACATTTTGATGAATATTTACAGCTACAGCTTCAATACCGTAGACGATTTTGCCGATCGTCAATAAAACATCATCCGTCTCCAGGACACGGAACTGGAAAAAGATACAGGTGTTCGGTCGAACCGGTGGGAAAAAATCATCACTCCCGGAATAACGACTCAAAATAACGAGCTAAACTGGAACCATTCAAGCCACAATATAAACATAAAAATAAAAGATGACTTTCGTTGCATTTGACAATGATAAACTTACCAAAACCCGTGTTTTTTCCACAGTAATTAACCACAGTGCAGTAAATCGGGATAGATCTTTCCGACGCATTGCGCAAATTATTATTTATCGCTGTTTTTGTAAGGCTAACAAAGCAGGGTTATCCTTTGATCAATACATATTATTATTTTAAAGATGTGCAAGACGAGGCTGACACTTAATAATAGTAACAATACAAGTATCGTGGACAGGATTTCAAGAATCACGGGCAAAATGAAAGCGACGCTGCTATTTGCTTGAAAGGCCTGCGGAGAACACTGCACATTCGCGAATCAAGATTGCTGTACGGGATTCTGCCTTCGATTTCGTCTATTGATGAATATGACCAACAAAGTGAAATTGAACTTGCGTTTATGAAAATTGGAAAGGGTCCTGCTTTTTCAAACTGAAAAAAATGGCTGCGTCACTCTTGTAACTGCGCATGCGTACTCGCCATACAGATAAAACTGCATACATTTTATGTTTTTAGTCGCTGTATCTGCTCAAATAACACCCATCATGATGTATTAAACTATTATATACTAAAACCCGCAAATTTTCAGACCTTACAATGAAATATTACCATTATTTTCGCGACAGAATGCGTTATCGCAATATGCAAATTAGGCTACTCACCCAAGTCAAATATTTGTTCATAAATTTCAAAGACCACTAACTTATAAATTAATTAATGCAATAAATAGCTAATTAATATGCATGAATTGTATCAAAATCTAATCAGCACATCTGCTCATCATATATCAGCTTGGTGCAGTCAGTAGTGAGACGATTGTCAAAAAATCATATCTCAGCCAAAACTTTCGTTTATTTGACTGTCACGCCACCACTATAGCTTGACTTATTCTATTCTATTCATAATATGATCATCGATTATTAACTGTCACTATATCGACCTTATTTGCTGTAGGTTACTGAAGTCTAACTTGCGAAGAACTAATAATTTTACAATTAAAACAACGATTTCGACATATTGCACATACTGACACAAGGTTGAACACCTGAGCATATCAAAAAAATGCATGCATTGAAAGAAAGGGTAAGGCGATAACTGCACCAAACGTGCAATGTTACATAATGGTTTTTTTTAAATACACAAAATTTATGACAAAAGGATTTAGATTAAGTGGATTTGGTTTAGGTAATGCTCACAGCACAATAATGAATGCTTTTTAATAGATGTGAGATCAAATGGAAAAAATGCACCAATAAGGACTAACAAAAAATATACCAAATACAAAAGTAATATATTAAGAAAAATGATTGTTTGTTTAACAAGAAAATTGATGAATATCTGTTTAATATGTAACATATACGATACTTTCTAATTACATTACACCTAAGTTAATTCATTTCCACTCCCCAGCTAGTGACAAATGATGGCAGATATTAGGTTAAATCCCAATTCGGGTCAATCCTTTTGAGTGTCCTTGTAGCAACCACTGTCCAAATAAGCCAGGGTTTGAGCAACACTGCGTACATATGTATATAATACGTAACATGTACGACACTTTATTACAACTAATTTAATAAATTTCCACTGTGTGGAAAAATATGCTTTTATGGCTTACAATAATTGTCCAATTGCAGTAATAATAATACAATTGAGCGTGAATTTCCTGGCAAATATAAACAATTCCCAAGCCTCTATAATTTACAAACCTATATAATCGTATATCATCATTATCTTTAAATTCCTCAAGAGACGTTATTCTAATCCTGGCTGTGCTCTTTGATTTGCTTTCATCTCCAGTAAAATGTATGATTTGCCAAACACCCCTTTTTTTCTCTGCTACAATCCCTGAAATAAGCAAATTATATACATTATTATTGTTATTAACAACATTTCAATATAGTATTAAGTACGGCTTTGACCGTAATGTCTTAGTTGTATAATACACATTAACATCGATGCAAGGTATGTAATATACATTGGTGTCAAGTATTTATCTACGGTGTAGTACTTGTCATTGGTTAACAGTTGCTGATATTCATTATTACTGTTTTGAACAATATGTATGATTGAAGTCATATATTGCAAAAATGTCACGAAAACGCACTGTTTATTTTTGCGTTTATTTTGAATACTCAATATGGCCCGGGTGTTTCTGGTATTGAAAACACGTATTGTAATTGGATGGAGATGCCAGTGAATCGATTCAATAAATGTACAAAACCAAAGTGCTTTTGCAACTACCTTTCAACAAATAATCTGTGTCATTCAAGTTATTTAAAAAATATATACCGTGATGCGAGTATAAATACAATGTCCTCCATACATATATATGGTCTCCTGGATTCAAGCCCGACTCGTCGATATCATGGAACAGAGGCATTGTCACGAGTCAGGTGTCTCACCAGTAAAACAACAACTACAAAATGAAACTGAAACGTATTATCAAAACTGACAAAGTATTTGTAATGTCACAGTTCTCACATCCATTTCAGGATTGTTATACGCACACTGTTTGTTATTGGGTCTTAGTATATCTTTTTTAACTAACGTGTTAAGACGCTTTCAGGTGAATCACCGCTTTTGTAGTTCGTCGCCAATGATGTTGATGAATCAACTAATTGTTACATATTTAATATTGCAATATTCATAGTTACATGCTGGCTGAATTATGTTAGTATTACAAATATGTGGAATTGAGACAAAATAGTCTCTTGATAATTCAGTAAATAAGTGTTTACAATTCGGGAAACAAGTTTGTCAAGATGTTGAATGTTGTTCCGTGAAAGACAGCACTGATACTATTTATCATAGGATGTTTTACCCGTTGAAAACAGTATCACACTGGAAATATCAATAAATAACCAAATTTATCTCACTGTGAATAACGGTCATAGTAGATAGGGGATGTAACGTCACTCGCATGTTATACAAACACGATATTGTGAAAATAATAGATTCAATACAGTTATGAGCAAAATAGCACGTACAATAAATAATTTACTTCCAAACAATACAATGAATAATAACAGTTACAATAAATACCACTACAGCCTTCAAAGTTCCTTATACTAATAAAAGTGTGTGTATGGGATGGTAATGTTACCAGTAACAAATGCAATGGTCTTTGTTGTAGTCAGCCAGCAGTGTTTTCTATCAGTAATAAATCGGCGATTTCCTTGTCCAACTCCCAAAAACGTCCTCAGTCAGCACGCTGTTTAGTGACTATGTATGTTCATACCAAAATTTTAGGATTCCATCATTGGCCTGGTAAAGCTCTCATAGTCAGTCTGCTTACAGTATGGCCTTCAACGCTTCATAAATTGCACATCGGTTGCCAAGGAACGACTGCCTCTACACGTGCTTCCAATTCTATTACCTTGTCTGCTCAGTTTGGTAATGGTTCCGCCAAGTGGTCTATGGTGCCATCGTGATTGTGACAGCAAAGTTTATGTAAGCAACAATATTGCAGGGAAGGAACATGACCACGACCTGCTTGCACATCAGTCGCCAAGGAAAGACTGCTTCTACACGCGCTCCCAATTCCAGTTATACATTTCTGTAAATACGCTGTTTTTTATAAGTACATGTTTACAAACTACAATATTTTGATAGGAGCACGCCTCAGTGGCATCGTGATGTCCTGACTGCAAAGTGTATGTATGCAAAAATTCTCCTACCTGGTTGTATAATCGCACTGTTAGGTAAATGGGTTATACTAATTGTGTGAATAACCACCCATGGCGTGTCGTTGGCAAGGCAATTAGGGTTTCCTTTTCATGAGCTTTGTATATTATACTATCTGGGATAGGCCATAACGTTCTGTCGTATAATTCAATTCGGAAAGTCTATGGGTTGCTCCAGCTTATGAATACTAATTACACATAATTACTTGAATTCACATTTTGAGAACGTTTATTAAGTAACATCGCCACTGACTTTATTATGACGATCTCGCGTTTGGGAGGTTTCAATCAGTTAATGTCGAGCACCATCTTGTGATCACTCCCCTTCTATTGACAGAAAACTTTCTTGTGACAATTCCAGTATGTGTATGTGTCATCTTTCATGAGACATATATTAATAGTTATTAGATATATTCTGCAAGAAATTTCCTGTACGTCTCAGCACGAACTGCCAGACTTCTTCTGTTCAACTACGCTTTCAATCATTTGTATTTGCATATATCACGTGAGTATTTGATTCAATGATAATCTATTATAGATTCCATAAAAAACAGGATCATACTGCTATTTATAGCTTACCTCCTTGCAAATTGGTCATTGTTTGCATTGTAACACCAAGCCCTCGCATTTTTAACTGTCAATGGTACAACGTTGCTAACTGAATGCGTATTTATTTATGTATTTAAGGAATGGACCACTGTCGCAGTCACAAATACCACAAGCTATTACCCAATTCACGACATATTTGCAGCAGCCACACTCGTATTATTATACCAACTTCATTCTGAACGTAATTTTGGAACACCGACATAAATTTAAAGCATAAGAAAAAAATTCCTCACTCTGAACTTTAACCCTAACACTACAAAATTATGTGCAAATGTGATACAGCACCTAATAATTTATACTTTGCAATGGTAAAATAATATGTGTAATTGTCTTTATTAACATGAAATTTAAAAAGTACAGACGCCGATTAGTTCCATATAGGATATACTAATTGTGAAAAACCACCCATGGCGCGTCGGTGGCAAGGCCATTGGGGTCCCCTTTTCATGGACTTTGTGCTGGCAACTGACCCCAACCTTTGTGCTGGCGACTGACTTCAACCTCACCTCACGTAATTTTGGAACACCGACATCAATTTAAAGCATCAGAAACACTCCATGACCCTGAACTTTAACCCTAACACAACAAATTATGTGCAAATGTGATACAGCACACAATAATTTATACTTTGCAATGGTAAAATAAAAATGGACCCTTTGGAGTATAAAAAATACAGACGCTGATTAGTTCCTTTTGATCGATTTTGTTTAGAGAAGAATCGACAATACTTCCGGGTTCACAAGTGGGCCACATCTCATGCATTTATTTGAACTCAATTTTGTTAATGGTTTATATCCTTATCGCAATATATTGTTATTTGTCAATTTCAGTTGACATAGTGTTTAACCTTTTTGTGTGTTATTCACCTCTGAGGCCTACTTCTAAACATGAGCAACCATGGTATATCGTCCTACCATGGAAATACTACTATCTACTGCCATAGAGTTACTGGGAAGCCTTGGGCATTTTTCATCGCAGTGATAGCAGTGCATTCTTCATTCAGAGTATTACAGGCAAAATAATCTTTACCTAAAACAATAAACTTATTTCTTTCATTTGTTTTGCAAGTCTTGCTACTTTTTCTCAAAACATGCAGCCCAAACATTATCCAAAACACTAATCTTGCCTGATTTTGTTACCAACACTGTCGATGAAAAAGAATTTTTTTAATCAGCTACCTTTGTATTCTATTGCTGAATGTGGTGAGGTCATAAGGTTTAATTTGCACGGCATTCTGCAGACATACCAATGTTGTTACATCATAAGACCTGTTACCAACTGTTTCGGTTTCAGGGTTGTGTGTGTTGTAACCATCTGAACCGCCATCACACCTTGTAAGCCTCCTGCTTCTTGCCTTGGCATATTCCTGCGTGTTCCACTCACGTCGGTCGTATTACCTTGTATATGCATAAGTTGGTCTGAATAGCAGTAATAATTCCAATATTTAAACAATAACAGATTCAATAACAGAACAAAACCATACAGCAGATCTATAAATAAACAGGTTTCAGGTTCACATTTCATGACTGAAACCACCATCATCAACACGCACCACCAATTCAACGTCAAGGAATACAATTCTTTCAAATCTACTTCAAATCCGACTAGTAATTGCAGTTTCACTGTTTATTTGCATGATTAAGGGATGATATAGTGGAAATAAAATTTGGTGAATATATCTGTTTTTGTTTTACATTCAACTTATTAAAAATCAATGAAAATTAATCCAATACAATATCCAAATTGTCTTTCAGTGAAAAAAGAAAAAAAGGATTTTACATTAAATGTTTGTAAAGTTTTGCGTCTTGTTTTATTCACGACGCTTTGTCATAATCGTTGTTTAATACTAATATGGGGTACTACCAATGGCAAATCGTAATGCCGTCATGCCGTCCCCCTGACGTCTGTGATATCTGGATGTTATATGCAGGTTACCATCTATACGTCTTAGGATATGAGTTAAACAGGTAACTTATGACGGCCTCAGTGTTGACCGGCTTCACTCGAGTACTGTGTTGGCGGGCTGCTCCTGTGGGGACGATGGTGTGATCACCCCCCCCCTCTTTTAACAGCAGACTACTTGTGACTGTAATTTCTAGCACTAACTTCATTCACGAGACACATATATTAATAGAATGATTGTATGTAAAAGAAAGCACTTACTAGATATATTCTGCAAGATATTTCCTGTACGTCTCTGCACGGACTGCTATTTTATTTAATTTCGCTTTCACTCTTTTGTATTTGTATATATCACGTGAGTGTTTGCTCCAATGACAGTCTAGTATAGTAAGAATCCATGACTGCATCATACAACTATTTATAACTACTTCCTTGTAAATTGTAAATTTTGTGAGTCACAAGTCTTTGTATTGTAAGTGTAAGTTGTTGAATTATAACTCCAGGCCCACGCAATCACTTTCTTACGTGGTACCCCGAGAACAACATGTTCTCAAATACGAGCAGAATGATAGATATTTTTATAAATTCCGTAATATTGCTGTTTGTGTATCAGCAACATTAACTGTAGTGCTCAAATGCCTTTCCAAAAACAGCAAAAAAAAAACGTTTAAAAATCTTCTTCCTCAGACCCAACATACACATTTGTGCAGCACATTTAAGTTTGAAAAGTATATTATAGTTGGTCACATGGTTTGGCCGCCATTTAGGATTCCTTTAACTGATACCACAGTTACGCGATTATTTTCAAATTTGCCACTTTGCATTTCTATATTTCAGTCAGCTGAGAAGAGATTAAGATCAAGTCACGTGATTTGCCTGTCATTATTATTTTTCAGAAAATATGGGTAAAATTGTGTGTATTTGTCTCTCATGACGGCTTTAATCGATCAACTTGATATTTTGCATGTAGCATGCATGGTCACAGCTTTTTTTTATGAGAAAAATAATATAATTTTGATCCGTAATGTGGTTTGGTCGCCATCTTGATCCCCCCCCCACAGTTTGGGGCATTTGTTTCTCATGAATGCTTCAACCGAACAACTTGATGTTTTGTGTCTGCATTGCCATGGCTTCTTACGCAATATAATTTTGATCAGTCACATGGTTTTGTTCGCCAAGAAAATGCAACATTTTGGGTATTTGTTTCTTATGGGTGCTTCAACTGATCAAACTGAAATGTTGTACGTGATATACCTGGCCAACAATGAAAAAAATGAAATAAGTTTGATCAGTCACGCGATTTCATTATTATTTTGGATTTTCGACAGAAACTAAAATGTATAGTGTTTGTTTAAATGTAATAACTTTTACGATAACTGCATACAATTATGGCTTATGCATGGCCCTGCACAGCAATTACCTATCAGTCAGTAGACCAAAAATACATACCATCCACACAAACCCTATCAGGTCATACAATGAACCGCTACGCTTAAACCCCGCTGATGCCGCTTGCAGTTCAGTTTAATTCTGTCTTTATAATTTAAACAACATTTTATTTACCAGAGATACAGTTATACAAAATAGTTTCATCGATTTGCGCCATAATGGATTGTATTTTAACAATTTTACATTAGAAAATGTTATAGACAATTGGTCTGTTTATAGCCCTAAACCTGCAGATTTAACTTTTAAATCTACAGTCACGTTACGTACCTCGCCTTGCTATGTAACTAAGTATTGTCAAGGCTGCGTGCCTCAGTTTGTTCAGATGTCAAAGGTACCATTCTGAGTCACTCCAGTGGTAGGTGGCAGCAGAACTTATGACGTATTGTTTGTATTCTGTATTGTAACATTGTGATTAACATGTACAGTAAAGAACACCGCTTATAACACGTCATGCATGTTTCGTTTCAACAATTTCCACGAAGCGATGAGTCATATGTAGATTTTTTAGTATTTCACCAAGGGGCGCCATTTTGTAGCACAGTGTACAGTTCGTCGAGGTGCGAATATCATTCCAAGAAAAGCAGGTATGTGTCTACCATCTCGATAAATAACAACATTGGTAATGTTTATGTGGTACTTCTCAACAATACGGACGTACGATACGAGATTTCTTTCACCCGGTATGTGGCAGTTTTCGTGAACCTATTGTCAGTACACCATGGGTATCCAAAGTTCAAAATGGTGACCTGTAGTCCATAACTATAATGATAAGACTATTGAAATGTTTCAGCGGACAAGCAAACAATGTGCTGAAAGTAACTACACAATATACTCGTAAGTCACGTACACTATTCACACCAATGTGAATGTTTATCACATCGCTATTCCATCTTGTATTAAATTATCAAGAATATTTAAAACATCGACTCCAAGTTTCAGTTATTTAAAGCGGGAGGGTCATCACCTGCGCACGCGCGGGAATTGAGTCCCAAGCGACGATAACAACACACGCTAAAACGCAAAGGCTCATGGGTAGACGCTTGTTTGTAAACAATGACAGACTATGGTCATGTGACGCATGCGCAGGTGACGACCCTCCTGCTTTAAATCTGTATACGTATATCAATAAAGGCAGTAAAGACGTTCAGAATAATTAACCATTTTACATTTTTAGGCTGGAGATGTCTTCTTGGTTGTCACATTTTGTAAATCCGGACGATTTAGATCCAGGTGACCATATATACGTATATCGCGGCATGCTATTCTCGACATGCCACGGTGAGTTTGTCTATATAGATGTAGTGTGTGACGTATAGTACATATAACAGTTATTTATTATGACATTTTGACATTTTTGTATGTCTACCTCTTGCCATAATTGTATGTCAACCTCCATCCGCGCACCTTCCTGTTCAATTTACCTGATTTACGTCAATAACTTGTCAGGGGAGCAAGAATACGCGGCAATAGTCGTGAACTGATTGGTTTGCCAGGTTTACGTTCACTATTTGACTATCTTATTGGAGAGAAAAACTAGGATTTTGTAGCAATTTCGCGTGATTTTTAGTCAAGCTTGTCGTGTGTTCGCCAGCGCGCTCAGCTACGCGCTTTGAGACATTCGATATGCGATTGCGTAGTTCGTCAACCTAAATAGTCGTGGGATTTGCCGTGTGACGACATCGTTTTGTTTTATTTTTTTATGTATTTTGTGTGTTTTGACAGAATATTGACATATTATGTACAGTGTATTTGTTGAAAGAGATGATGAGTGATGACATAACCTATACTCAAGCAGTGTGCAGCTCCGTGTGCAGCTCGTTGCAGTGTTCTACATGTAATGCGAACTGAAACGCAATGTAGCCTGTAGCTGCGCACAGGATGGCGCCGGTTGTTGTTGCAAAAATCAATTCTTCGTCAGGCTGAAGCTGTTGAAACTAAGTTTATAAAAACAACCATGAATATAAAAAGGCGTCCATGATAAAACTTAATATAATTCAATCACTGCTCTTGAACTCTTTCAACTTGTATATTTATGTTCAAACATGCATTCGGCTCTACAAGCGTGAACCGTGAATTTATTTCAAGATTTATTCGGTATAATAGTACAAATGTACAGTTTTTGAGACCCTCAGAGTCTATTGTCAACCTCGGTTTCGCCTCGGGTCGCTAAAGCTGTATGTCCACCTCTGTTGGGGTGTACATTTGTATAATGTTGTAAACGCCAAGTGCGGGTATTAAAGAAATCTCTCAGGTAAAACAACATATTTGTCGTAGCAATCATGAATTCATATGATGGTTTCAGATCACAAGTAAAATACACGCTTAAACATGGGTTCATGCAAATGCTAATTTGAGTAAATTCCATTTTGTAAATAAATATTTATATAAATAAACTTATTTTAGTTTTTTCTGTATTTAGGAATATACATAGGATCGCACGCAAATGAGTCAGCAGTTATTCACTTCATTCCCGACCACTCATACAAAGAAGCTAAGGGCAGAGTATACATATCTTCCCTGACTGAATTCCGGCTAGGTTTCATCTCAAACTTAGTCACTGTCAGGAAATACAGGTGAATTATAGTCAATTACATTATTTTCTTTCTTTCGTAATGGCGAATAACAAATATCGATATAATAGTCCACAAAATACGTAAACCAACATTTCATTCATTGTGTCGAAATATTTGGATAAATTTGTATAATAGTGTCCGACTTGTACGAAAGCATGAGGTAAACTTTAATTAAACAGACGAAACTATGGTGAACTATTGGTTGTGTGTTAGTAATTTTACACAGCTGAACACAGGGGTACACTCTAGTCTGACTGAGCAAGTATGTAAACGAAACTTGTTTGGTGGTCATTTTACAGTTTATTATGATGGCTAAAGCCACCCCACCCCCAGTTTGGGAATTGCATGTGTATGTTTCAAAAAGGATTATAAAAGCAGTGACAAGAAGCTGTTCTGACAAAATAATTCTATTCCATATCTCCCACAGTAGAAGCGAACAAGTAATACATATTGTACTGTGTCAGTGACATAACAGCCCCCAGCCCTATAACCTTGGGTCCAAGTGGTATTCAGTCTCTTGGATGACCGGATAACCTATAGGATAATAAATGAGGAAGAGAGCAAACGTCTGTGTGGAACAACATACCTGGCTGTGTTACCCTGGAGTGATTTCCTTTATTTTTAAACTTTTTCCCAGGTTCAGTCTCGAGAGACTAATTTTGTGAGTGTATTTTAGCAGAGGTGCAATAAAGCGAAGGGAATGTGAACTTTCTCCTATATATCACAGAAAATATCTCCATGGTACCTGGTCGCTACACAAATAACATCATTTAATTTATACCTCTACTCGTGAGATTGCTTATGAAGATCCCTAGTTGTAGGTGTAAACTGAACCCGGTACTATAGTGTATACTATAATCATTGAAACATGTGCCATTTCTAACTCATCAACGTAAGCCGCATGTGGGAGTTGAATCTACTTACTTGGAAAGACGATTAACAAAAACTAAAAGTTATATAATAGGCAGTGCAAGATATTCCATACGCTGTACACCTTTTTCAGAAAACCTCTGTGATTCGCCGAGATTGCTCCATCCACCATTACGTATAATTTACACTAAATCCTTAATAAATGTTTTACCTAATACCTTTTACCAAAACAAAGCCTCAAATGAAAATACTGAAAGTCAGAAATGGCCTAGCCAAATAAAGGGACGTCCTTAATGTGTTGGTCCGACCATCAAACATAACACGCCTCGATCCTCCACTGGCATTTCTCTGTCTACACCATTGATTAACAATCAATGTCTTGTTCTAATGGAGCCGCCATTCCGATCCTGCATATTTGGCGGAGTCTTCTCAATGAATATAACAGTGGTACTTCATTGGACTCAACCCAGGTTTGACCGTGATATGGTTGCAATGTGTGTCGGGATATCACTGATGGTCCTGTCAGCTAAAGGATGGAGATGCGTGTTTTTGAATGGATAACTCATCGAGCGTTCGCTATACCATGTGTCATCTTGCGCGATAGTACTAGTAAAAACAATTGTAACAATGTAATTTTAATCATTCCAATTTGTATGCAATTATGATGCCGGTTGTAGTAATCCCTCATGGGTATATTCTTGACCAAGTAAATATATATCGATGACAGTATTATTTAACACCCACACTCATATTACAAATCATAGCACATGCTAGAACATGTTCTAGCTAACATGAAAGCCACATTTCAATCTACATAAACATGAGTATTAAAATTATGTGTTATATGTATCACTTGTAGGTCTAATAAAACTTGAAAATCATTCTCTTTTTGGGAATTATAGGTATGGTGTGCCACAATGGGAACTGTTGGCGAAACGTAGAGGGTCGTGCTCAATGCGTAAGAGTGGTTCTAATGAAAAAGTAATCCAGAGAGCATGGGACTGCTATAATGGTAGAATTCCAACAGTTGGTTTCAACACCAGTGAAGACTTTGCTTTATTCTGCAAACTAGGGCACACATATAGAGACAGCTCGTACCAGTAGACAAGTGCCGCTCGTGCATTATTTTTACTGACTTGATTTGTCAAGGTGCTCTGAACCATAGAAACAACCGACCGATAAAAGGAATTTGTTATTCGCCACGGGCGTCGAGCTGTGTATGTCTAGAATTCTAATTGATCAACTCCCATACTGCATTGTGCTATTTTTTGCCGACAAAATAGCAACGGCGAGCCACGAATAGTATATAAAACATTATACATACCAGTATATTGATGGTGTTAATCTATGATTTGATTGGTCCAAACACGAAATTTGCATATGCAATTATTGGTGTATTGGCTGATAATGCACGGCTAAACCAAGTGGCCCTGGAACATGAATTGACTACAGGTTTAATACGGAAATACATAAAACCGGTAATATTTGATTTTTAGGGAAATATAGTGGTTGAATTTTGAAAAAAAAATATTGAAAAAAAATATCGAATTAAAAACATCTGAAAAATTATATAACCATAATATTGCTTTTTGTTAATGGTGAGATCCAAGTTGTGAGCGTCGATAGTTGGGTGATTGTCGTTCGCCACACAAACCTATAAGGCCAGACTTTTTTTTATTCCTTGTTTCTCGAGTTTTTATAAGGAAAGTTTTTTGAGGAGGACGGAAAAAAATAAAATTAATCCTTTTTTTTCATTAGATTTGTGTGATTCTCAAAGAATTGTAAGTGAGATCATTGATCAGAGAGAAGAAATGAAATAAAATTTTATTCCATGTATAATCTTGTTTCTCATCTGCGCAAGACTCCGGTACTTTGATCATGATACTTCCACGAAAATGCAACTTGGATTTGTTATGCGGCGGGCGGAAAAAAAATGAGGATAAAAATATTTTTTTTAGTAATTTTTTGCACTTACAATTCGGCGGGCACAAGAAATTACGCTGAAATAACATTTTATTTTTATTTAATTTTCGGCTCCTGTTCATTCTGCGCGTTCGCGAAACAATGGATAATAAAAGTCTTGCCTAAACCACCGTCCATCAAAACCGTGAGATGCCTAAACGAACGCCAGAAACGCTGTCTTCTACGTGTTGTGTCTTTGAGATGGATTGCGAACCTCCAACAAAGAAAACATAATCTTTAAGTACTAGATGAGATTGAGGGATTGAAGGACAAAACAATTTGCAAAAAAAAATACGAGTAACAGGCAAAAATGTATGCCACCAATTACAACCGGTTTTCCGTATTGGCGTTGGAATTCTAGCTGATAAAATTGCAGTGAAATTGCACCCGGGGAATTGCCATCTGTTTCAAAGGACTCGGGAAAACGCAGAATTCGACGACGATATATGGTATTGTATTTCTCCACTATAGGTAAATAAATTACAGGAGATGATGAAAGCTGCAGATTTTTGTCGAGTGTACACCAACCACTGACTGATAAAGCAACGGCGTGCTAAGTCTTTCTTTCGGCCGGAGGCATGTCATGAATCTGTCACCAAAAACATCCGATCTTACACCATCAAACTTACCCCAGAACAACGACAAAACTTGTCAGTCATACTGTCACAAAACTGTGGTTATACCAAAGGTATCCAGGTCAGATTTTGGGACTGAGGTCGCCGTGACGGTCGCCGTACATGATACACCGTGCCCGCCGCGTCTCAAATTTCGGTCGACAATGTGGTTTGATGAGTCACAAAACCGGGTTATTTCACAACTGTACTTTCAATGGGCAAATTACAATCAAAATTGTACAAAAACCGGAATGAAAGCGTGGAAACTGTACACGACCCTGTATTTCAAATGGCGTTAACACAGTTAGTAAAAGGTCAGAAAGGTCATCTTTTGTTATGCTAATTTTTGTGTTTACGCTGTTCTATTCACTGTGGATACGTTTTGTTTTCACTCGGAATAAAAATAATAGTTTGTACTCAATTTGAATTGTGTTGCGTATGTAATTTTTGTATGCATTCAGGGTACAACTACATACTATTCTTATAAATATTCATGTAGTTGCAAGTAAACTCTTTTTTACGAGTTTTATAAAGGCATTAATTATTAAAATTGCTGGTTTGTAAAGTTTGCAAGATGATTTATTGTGTCAAATTTTGAACCAATTTTCTTTGCCTAAACCATTGTAAAAAATATGTAAACAGTCTTTGCATTACACACAATGTAATTTGGTTCAATTTTTACCTAACTCGTGAATGCATTTACAACACTTTGCTATAAATTCATGCTATATTATTCTGTCCTAATGGTATATATATTTAAATGCCTCATTGGCAGCTGGTTGTGTTACAATAGTTGTATTTCGTCAGTCTAAGGCGCTTTAAAAAGTTTTTATTTATCTTATGTGCATTGTAAATTTGTTCTGAAACGTCCTCATTTACAAATGCTAAGCAGGAACTGAAATTTAGTCTCATGCTGTTTTGTCAGGAGAAAATGTTGTACAATAGGCGTATAGATGTGTGTCGGATGACCATGGGGATAACTAAATCTTTTTTTTTTAATATGGTGGTCTAAAATTAGGGATTTAAAAAAAATACATTCACACTGAAATTTGACAATTACGAAGAGTCAAGTGATATTGTAAGTACGTCAAGTTTGTTGGACGAGAGTAATCGGCTCATTGGACGAAAACTAATTAAATTCAGTAATACATCTTTCTGTCTCATGCCACTAATTATGATGCATGGTAAGTGACTACTCCACTCTGCTTTCTTGTAAAGCTTACCCTTCTGAAAGAAAAACCCTTTACGATGACTTTAGCAAAATATTTACTAATTTACATGAGATGGACAAAACAGAAAAATTCAAGATAATCATCAAAGTAGCAGATAAACATTTACTGAAAACACTAATCTAATACATTGATAATGCAAACTTGAAAAGAAGCATTTAGTAACTTTCTTTGTTTTTGATACTTTTATTATAATTAATGTGTGTTCATGTTTTCATTAATTTAACTTTATTACTCAGAGCCGAAAAAAATTGTAATTTCTTTACGGTGATAATAAAGTGTTATTGTATTGTTTACAGAGTGTCTAGACCGGGGGGGGGGGGTTCTAGAGTAAAAGTGCACCTAAATTACGCACCCATGCATTGTTAAATACTTGTCTCTGTGTTTTTATTTATAAAATAAACAACTTGGGCGGCGGCATTAAAAATTAAATTATTACTGTAGGTGTTTTCGAGGTAAATTAGAATGGCTTTCCAATATAACACTTTGTTTCCACTATCCGGGAACTTGAAACTAACATATATATTCGAAGGGGAATGGGCTGTTTTTTATCCATGTAATTATGAACCAAAGTGACCTTTGTGATACCAAATTAATATAGTTGAATGATCTAATGGGCGACTATAAATTCATTTAGTCGGTCAGTAACCTTACACTACCATAGTAACACACCGTGAGCGACGTTAACTACCAAATTTGAATGATATCAGCATGTTACAATTTTTTGACTTTATTTTTTGTAAACAAGAATGGCCGCAGAATTTCATCGTTTTCTAAAAAGTAACTGAACATTCAACACAATATGTCCTGCCTTTGTAGCAAATCAAGCTAAATTGGTAAAACTATCACTAAGAAAGGGACAGAAAATCAAATGACCGCCTTCTGATCGTTTTGAATCTAATCACGAAAGAAAATTACCTTCGTCATAAAAAAAACAAATCGACGTTTATATGTCGTCCTTTCTGACTTAGTTTTGTACCAACATGGAACAAAACCGGTCCAGGCATGTCCTAGATCTGACGATGAGAGACGAATGCATGGACAAGCGGACGAACAGAACTCAAAGCATATGACTAATATCGTAATATGGAAAAATATGGGGTGAGAATAAAGAACTGCGTGTTTGCACGTGATTATGTTCTAACCTATACAATCAGTGAGGTTCAAAGGTCAACTTTTATTTATTTTGTACTGAACTTCCAGGTGGGTACACAATTGTCATGCAAATCTGAACTACTAGTATTCATATCATTTATAATGGCGTCATACAACAAACTGGCAGTAGATAGTCCGATAAAGAAAGCCGTTGCAGTTACGTTGGTTATACTG